GAAAGTCAGCTTCATTCTTCCCTCTCAACCTGCACTCCTCTTCCCTGTGCTGCCTCCCACGTCAGTGACATCCCAGTGGGTGGGTCGACAGCACCTTGCTGTCACTCCATCCATTCCCTAAATGCCTGAAGGATGGATGCCTGAACTAGTATGTTCTGCAGCTTTGGTTTAGTTGAGGCAGCAATGGATCAGAAGTGATCAGCACCTGGACTAACTCCCCGGTGGGATTAGTTTATGCTGAAAGCACACCCATCCCAGTCCTGACCACCCTGGGTCAGCAATGTCTGGTCACTTCTACATGGAATGGATCCCAAACCCAACCTGGGTGACCTTCTGCAAGCGCCTTAGTCTCATTCTTTCTGGGATTCCCGTTTGTAAAGTGGGTCTGTCGGCCTCCACAGCCCGTGCCCTTACCCACGATGATTCCCCGACTTCCGCAGAGCTAGAAAACTCCCAATTAATCAATCACTGCCCACATCCCAGGTACTGCAAGGGAGACCCTAAACGCCGGTCCACTTTAGGAAAGGTCTTGGAGCCTGGAATCGCAGAGTCGAGAACCAGAGCGCTTGGGTGTAAGTCTGCGCCCCTCCGTGCTACTGTCTCCCGGCTCGAGCAAAGAGCCTGATGGCCGCCCAGCGCGAGCGTGCAGGGGGCCCGGCGTGCAACAGGGCCCCGCTCCCCGCACTGTCCGGCCTCCAGGGCTGCCCGGCCCCGCCTGGGCCCGGTACTCAAGGTCCCTCTGGGCAAGGAGCCCCCAATGCACGGGATTCCGCGAAAAGGGGCAGGACACGCCCCGTGGGAGGCCCCCCGGGTGGGGAAGAACCCCTCAGGCCCCTCTCGGCCTCCGTACCTGACCGGAGCCGCCTCCCCCGGCCGCAACCACGGCGCTGCCGGCCCCGTCCGCCTCCTGCGCCGCCGCCATCTTCCTGCTCCGGGTCCCCGCCCCCGCCGCCAGCCCCGCCCCGTCCCCGACGGTGCCAGCGCGATCGCGCGAGATTTCACACTTCGCCCGATCCGCCAGCCACCGTATCCGGCAGGAGCGCTTAAGCCACGCCTCTCTAGAGAGCCGCTTCCGGCTAAGAACGAACCAGCCGGGCCACCGTACTCCGCCTCCTCTCAGCCGCCTGTCTTTCACCTAGTAGACGTTCTCCCGGCTTTGAACTTCCGGCCTTTCTCGGCCAGCGTAGGAGCTTACCACAGGCTGCATTCCCTTTGCTTTCTCGAGTAAACCCGCCTCTTCCATTTATGTGAGCCTTGTAGACCATGCTGCCCGCCTCGGCGATTCTCCGAGGCCTTTCCGTTTTCGTGTTTCTTGAGCTTTCCCGGCTACCGTAACGCCTCAAAACGTTCTGCTCGAAGCGCTCCTCTCCGTGATCCATGAACCTCCGTGGCCACCGTACCCAGACTCAGGGGGCGGGCCTTCGGCTGATGCCGTCACCTTCGGACCCCTTTTCCTAAAGCAAGCCTTTCTTCTAAGTCCCCTTAGGTTAGATAGCGTTTTCCCGTGCGTTCAGAATGACTATTTCAGGGTTCGCACAGCCGCCAGCCCCTCCCCAAGCCTTCGGGCCACCTAGTTTAGACCGCACGCGCGCTCCGGGGTGATCTTTGCTTCCTAGAAGATTTCGCTACTCTGGACTCGGCTTCCAGGGCTCTAAGAACTTCATACTTTTTCCTAGCTACGTCTCTCTGTACTGTCCCAAGCCTGGGCACGTGTTGCGAGAACCCTGGCCTGGGGAGGGTGGTATGGAGGATCAGAAAAAAAGTCTATCAGTGGCTCTTAAGCTTTATCTATGAATTGAGTGGAGGTGTGACCTGGATTTAAACTCTGGTTGTGCTACTGACCTTCTAAATGATCCCGGACAAGTGACGTATCTCTTTGGGTCTCAGTTTCTTCCTCTTTCCATAAACGAAGCATTTCCCTCCCGCTTATGCACCGCCAGGGTTTTGGAAAGACCTAGTGGGGTCACGAATGTAAAGCACCTACCCACCCAACCCCACCTCACTCTTAGCAAGTGATCAATATCTTGCACTGTTATTACGGACCTTACAGATTACCTGAAAGGGAGAGCAGGCTTTGCATTGGGATTCTCCAATTATTTATTTCTCATTTTACTATCTACTCCCTCCACTTTCCTCTTGGTCTAGTAATATCACCTCCTCCAGGAAACCTTCCCTGGCCCCCAGGCTGTGCGAGCACCGCCTCCCAGTCTTCCCCGTTCCCTGGGCTCTGCAACCCATCCCTGCCCACTTTCTGTCATCACTGTCAGGGACGGGTGTGGCATGTCTTGCTCTCTGCCGGGGGGAAAGCCGAGGGCTGTCACGCTCCTTGCTCTCCCTCCAGCACTGCCCCAGGGGATGATTGCTAAGTTAAAAGATGAAACTCTGAATGCAGAAGGTTGATGACCTACCTCTGAGGACCAACACAAAGGCAAGAAGTTACCTTAGAGAATGTCTTTCCTAGTCCACTCACAGATAGTAAGAGTAGCAAGAACGGGGGTGCCTGGGTGGCTCAGTCATTAAGCGTCTGCCTTCGGCTAAGGTTGTGATCCCAGGGTCCTGGGATTGAGCCCCGCATCGGGCTCCCTGCTCAGCGGGAAGCCTGCTTTTCCCTCTCCCGCTCCCCCTGCTTGTGTTCCCTCTCTCGCTGTCTCTCTGTCAAATAAATAAAATCTTTAAAAAAAAAAAAAAGTAGCAAGAACGAGTCAGTGAAATTGTATGCCCAGTTGGTTAAGTGTCTACTTTCGGCTCAGGTCATGATCCCAGGGTCTTGGGATCAAACCCCTTTTTGGGATCCCAGCCCCTCTGCCCTCCCCCCCCCCCCCCGGCTTGTTGTGCTCTCAAATAAATAAATAGAAATTTAAAAAAAAAATTGTAGGCCCAGTTTTTAAGTTTACAGATGAAATGAACATACTGATTGAAGTCCACCAGACAAGAGGCAGATTGAGATTTGTGGGCCTTTTTTTAAAGCACAAAATTACATACACAAGCTTAAGTAGAGGACCACAGAAAACCCAGGCAAGTGAGGGGCTTTAGAAACGTAATCTCCAGCTTCACTGTAACCCCATCTCTGCTTTCAACTCTAGATACAAAATGCTCCGGTCTGCCCTCCTCTCTCATCAGAATCCTGATCTGTTGGAGCATGAAGGTCTCTCAGCTAGACTGTGACTTTAGCAGCACTGCGAAGCCCTCTCCCATGTCTGCTGAGTGACCAAATTCTTCCATTTCTACTAATTGCTAAGTGAATCACAGCCCACAGCCACTCTGTCCTCCACTAGGGGGCGCCCAACACCAACCAGAAGATGCGATTGCGGGTTCTAAGGGAGAAAAGGATGGGAGCCCTACGCTTTTGGGTCCTGAGGAAAAAGCCTTGGGAGGTCCAGACTCCGAGTCTGAGGGAGAAGAAGTCTGGGGTCCCAGACTCCTGAATTCTGGGGGAAGAGGCATCTAGGGGCCTGGACTCCGGGGTCCTAGGGGGAGTGGGACTGGGGTGGAGGCCTGAGAAAGGAAGGAGGAATCTGGGAAGGGCACCAGGATTGGTTGGAAGCAGAACTGGCCTGGGCAGTGGTTTGGTTTGGCTTGAGTCCGTGGGAAACAAGTGGACAGAGCAGGGATTGTTCCTCTAGGGTCCCCCCTCCCCATCACCCTCTGGGTTTGGCAGCCTCAGCTCTTCCCAGGCCCTGGGGACTTGGGGGCATTTCCCACAGCCCCTCCCCAAGGCCCCTGTTTTCTACTAGACTCCCAGCTGCCCATCCTCAAGACCTGGGAAAGCTGCCCCAAGAGTGCTGAGAGGCTGGCTGGAGATTAATGCCAAGCAGATTAGGAGAAACAGGCCCTGGATCCTCAGAGGCCAACAGACCCCCCCCCCCAGGCACTTGGGGGCCTCGGACCACCCTCTACTCCCTCAGGACCCAGAAGTGCAGGCCCCCAGCCCTCTACCTAGGGGCCCCAGCACTGTCCTCTCTGATTGCACCTCCTCTGCTCTTACTTGCACACCCTGTGCTTTTTGCCTGCAATTCCCCGCTGCCCAGATACCATTTCCCAACCACTAACGGACCAAGTGAATCCCCCCCTCCCCCCACAATCCAGCAACAACAGCCCCAACCACACTACACTGTGATGCATCCCCTAGGACCAGCCCAGCCAGGTTTTCTAGGGGGACTTCCCCTATCCAAGGGGGCTACGCCCAGGCCTTGATCTCTTCACTTCTTCTTTTCTTCATTGCACAAATCGCTATCTGAAGTCATCTTCTCCCTTGGTCATCTAGCTCATCCTCTGCCTTCCCCCTCCCTACCTCCCAGCCGCTCTGTTTGTGGCCTCAAGATGGAACAGAGCTCCTGATCCTGAATGGGAGCTCAGAAGATGTTACTACTGTTGCTAATAAGGAGAGAGCAGCTAACAGAACACACCACACAGCCGTAATCACTAAAACTGCGTGGAATTGGGCCTGGGCCCAATCAATAGCTTTTTTTTAAAGGGCCACAGAAAGCAGGACTCTTTGTCTTTTCCCTGCAGTGTCCCCTGGGCCTAGCAGGGTCTCAATAAATACAGGTTGGACAAGCATATAGGAATTGTCACAGAGCACAGCTTTTGTAGATCGATCCTCTTGGGTTCCAGCCAACCTGGGCTCTGACTTCCTGTGCTCAGTAGTGACCTCTGGGCACCAGTCTCCCCTCTGACACAGGATCATGGGACACCTCACTGTGATGTACATTTAAAGGATCCGTCCAGGGCCTAGATAGTGCCAGAGGCCGCTGGAAGTTAGCTGTGTTCGTGGTTTGTCATTTTACATATGAGAAAGCCAGACCTTGGTGAAGGACAGTCTCTAATTTTGTTGTTACAGTTATTCCTTGTTATTATTCACCTCTTTATTCCCACTGACCAAGTTAGGGCTATATACATCCAATGGGCACTCAATAACCATTGGATGGACTGAATCAGTCCCACCATCTTGGCCCCTGAGGTCTTAGAAAAGCAACCACATGGAAGAAAATAAATGGCTTTTTAAATTAATTTATTTATAAGAAGAACAGACTAGCATTGGGAGCAGGATGCTGGTAGCTGCTGAAAAGTAGGGGGTAGGTCAGAGGAGCCAAGGGGTCGTGGGGTCTGGACTCTCCCATCCCCCCTGGTCGGAGCCCAGCTGTTACTGGTCTCCCTTCAGCATAGAAAGTAACTGGTCAGTGAAAATCCCTGCGTAAGTGCTCACAGCTGCTGTGCTTTTGTTGTATATTTCCCTGGGGAGAAAGGACAGACGTTCAGAGCAGGAGGAGGCTGGGAGTACCCTGAGTCTAAGGGAGAAACAGGCTGGGGGCCCAGAATCATGTGTCCTGCAGGAAAAGGTGGCTGGAACCCAAACTCTTGGATCCCTAGGGAGGACAGGGCTGGGATCTCAGAATCCAGGGTTCGGACAGGGCTGGGGGCTGGGACTCCTGGTTCCTAGTGGGGGCAGGTCGATGATACCTGATTTTCTCATCCACGGTGGTCAGGTATGTCTTCTCGTACAGTCCCTGGGCGGCTGACTTGGCTATCCCCCAGTAGCCATAGAATGATTCCTGCATCTGGGTGAACAGGGAGGGGCTGGTGGCTTCATCTTGCTGGGGCATGTGGGCCCCCTGGACCTCTGCAGGGGGAGAGTGCATTAGGAGAGCCGAGGAGCCTGCCGCAGGGGACAATGAGGCAGGGAAGGAGGGGGATGGGGGAGGGCCAGGCAAGAACTAGACTGGAAAGATGCTTGAGGCTCCTCTCATCCCCCTCACAGACCCCTCTTCCCCTGCTGAACACACTCACCACATCCCAATACCAGGAGGACAAGAACCAGAACCAGGAGGTATCGGATACCCATGGCTTCAGAAGACCTGGAACGCTGAGAAGGCTGTGGGACAAGGTGACATCTAGTCCTGGGGTTCTCCCCCACCCCCGCCAAATGCAAGAGGAGGGGGCTGGGCTTCCCCTCTCCCCTGCCCTCTCCCCCCCCAGCTGAGTCCAGTTGCCAATGCATCGGCTTGGGCCTCATTGTCTAACACTTTATGATTCTACTCCTGATTTTCACATCTTCCTTTAAACATCCATTCATTCCCTCAAGAAGCATTTCTTGAGCACCTCACCGTGTGTGCCAAGCACAGGCCCTGGGCCCAGCTGTGACCACAGGCGACAGCCCTGCCCTTCCACAGCCCACGTGAGAGAGAAAGACACTCAATGATATTAAATGAGGAAAAAATACTGCGTGTCCCGGGGTGATAAGTACTCTGGAGGGGGGAGGGCATGTCACGTGGCCTGGGAAAGGCTTGGCAGAGGGTGACGTTTCCGCTGCCACCCTGTCGGTACCTGGATGCACCCCCACAGACTCAGCGAGCACATTTCTGATGCCCTGGGCCCTGTTCTGCGTGCCTTCCCTCTGTCTTCACCCCCAGCCCCACCCCCGTCACAGAAGGGCTCAGCTCAGCGACAACCATGCTCAGAGGCCCTACTGTTTGGAGATGAGGTTGAGATCCGACCCCGAGGGGCATCAGGGAAACAGTCTAGGATTCTAAATTCCGCCCTTCCAACAGAGGAATCTAACGTCAGGACTCTTGCGGGTTTCTGACTTAATATTATCTTTGCCCCCTCCCCGCTGACCCCTCCCCATTGCCATCTTGGTCCCTCTCTTACCCGACTCTGGCAGGCTCTCCTCACTGGCTCCACGCGGGCAGAGAAAGGCTTTATAGCTCTTGAGGTCCACCTCCCCATCCACAGTTACCACCCCCACCTTGTCCCCTAGGCCAAAGTCCGAGCCAACAGGGCCGCTGAGGGGGTGGTGCAGGGCAGAGAGGGCAGTGACTGTCCCCAGGGTCAAGCCACAGGGAGCCCCTACTCTGAAAACTCGCTCCTGAGAGAGCCAGGCTGGGTGGGGGCTGTGAAGAGGTTGGGGGTTCTGGGCATCCACAAGGAAAGCGGTCTGGGGCGCCCCTCACGTGGGAAGCAAACACAAAGCTCTGAATGAGGGGTCGCTGTGGGGGCCTGCTGACCCCGTCTGCACGCCAGCCTTCCTCCTCCATCCCAAACTCAGCTGTCTGGTGTCTCCTTCCCTCCACAATCCCACAGTGGTGCATCTCAGGGCTGGGGGAAGGGGGCCCTCCTCCTGACTCCTTTGCCTCAGGGCCCCCCCCCAACTGTCCCTCCCTGGCCAGGTGTCACTTCCTCTACTCATGAACTGCTGGGGGTAGCCACAGTGGGAAGGGATGGGGACAGGGACACAGAGAAGCATTTCTTTATTGTGGAAGCTGCAGAAACTTTAATTCTGGTCCCCGTCCCCCAGAGAAGCCGGGGGCACAGGTTGTGAGCCCGGTTCAGAAGGCTATCTTTGGAGCTTTTGAGCCAGGCCTGGGTGCGGAGACTCAGGTCCTTCAGGTGGTCATCGTAGTAGGTCTGCACAAAGCCTTGGACGGCCTCCGGTCCCCTGCAGAAGAGGGACTATAACAGTCGAGACCCCAGCTAGCCCCAAGACTTCCGCTGCCCCATTCATCCCTCTTCCTTCAGACCCAGGAGTGCCTGCTCTCAACTCTTACCCTCGGCTTTGCTCAGACCCAGAGGTCACAGCCTTACCCCACTCAGAACCCAAGAGTTCCGGCCCCACCCCTCCTCCCTCTGACCCAGGTTCTCCCTCTAACCCGCGGGGTCGGACTCCCAGCCCCTCCTCCCTCAGACCCAGGGGTCCAGACCCCCAGCCCCTGCTCCTTCAGACCTGGGAGTCCACCCCCCAAGCACAGCTGCACGTACTCACCAGAACCACTGCCACTTATCTCTGGTCCTGGTCACCAGAGCCTTCATGTTGTTGGGCACCAGGCTCCAAAAACCACTCGCTAGCTCTGGTTGAGGGCTCGGGGATTCTGTGGGCACTGCTTGCTGGCACGCTAGGTGGGACCGGAGGGCCACATGGGCCGGCTGGGACCCGAGAATCCTTCCTTCACCTCCGTGCTCACCATCACTGTCCCTCCTGGTGGCCCAAGGGGAGCCCCTTGACGTCCATCTCTGCTGCCCTTCACCTTGTATGTCCCTTTGACCCCTTGTCCCCCTTTTAGCCATCAGTCGATTTCTTGTCACTCTCTGTGCCCACGGCCCCTCCTGTCACCCCTCCGTCTGCCTGTTGTGTTCCCCCTCAGTGTGTAACCCCACCTCTTTGACCCCTATCCCCCTCCTGATGCCTCCTTTAAACCTGATCTTGCTGCCCTCTCGGGTGTCCCATGACCCCCACCCTGTCTGAACAACCTCTGCAAGCAGCCAAGGGAAAGCACAGGAAGACTCCCCCGTCCCCCAGGGATGGAGGTTGGCAGAGCTGTGCCGTTCATTCCCTCCCCTCCGGGGGGCCAGGGGTCCTGCCTCGGATCAGATCGCACTTGATCTCTTCGTACACACCTGCCTGTCCATCACTCTTGTGCCCAGTAGGCAAAGCGTCACCTACAGACCCCAGCCTTCACACGGACACACATGTTTGTGCACATACAGGGGCACCCATACGGCCTGCGGAGTGCCTTAGCCAATGACCGAACCTCTTCTATACGCAGTTTCCCCTTCTGTAGAATGGGACAATGAGAGGCCCTACCTTGGGGATCCTGGGAGAACTCAGAGTTACCACGCATGAGGCACTTGGGAGGGCACCTTGCACATCGGGGTGTTAAAGTTTTAAATGCACGTGCGGAACGCAGACAGGTTCACGTGCCAACACATGCAGACACTCTCACAGCGTCCACACACTCGTATCTTTTACATAAAAACGCGTGCACAAGGGCGCCTGGGTGGCTCAGTTGGTTAAGCGACTGCCTTCGGCTCAGGTCATGATCCTGGAGTCCCTGGATCGAGTCCCACATCGGGCTCCCTGCTTGGCGGGGAGTCTGCTTCTCCCTCTCCCGCTCCCCCCTCTTGTGCTCTCTCTCTCTCTCTCAAATAAATAAATTTAAAAAATCTTAAAACAAAACAAAACAAAAAAAAACCGCGTGCACAAACCTATATATGTTTGTTCACGGACACACGTTTACCATGACGTCCTACTCTTGCGCAAACACACACAGCAACGCACATCCACGACCACTGTCATTTGCATCAGCCCCAGGTACGCGCCTCACATGGGGCCACCACCGGCACGTTCTCCCAGAAACGCACACCCATCTGCACACGATGAAACACACAAGCTCCGTACCCCAATGTCTGCCAACCTGCACACCATACGGATGGTCACGCTCACCCCCTACATGCCTGCAGGGTCCCCGCACCCGCCCATCCACTCCTCCTCACCCACAACACAGGCCAGGACCAGAATGCAGAAGCAGAGGGAAGGCAGGGCCTGGGGACTGAGTCCAGGAGGCAACATTTCTGGGGGCTCTTGTTCTCCTATCCTCGATCCTCCGCGCTCAGCTCTCCTGGCTGGGGGAGGGGGGCGCTGTGCAAAGCAGAGAGCAGAGCCCTCCCCTGGCTGCCTCCCCACGCCCCTTGGCAGGGACTTCAGAGAGAGGGGCCCAGGTGACGGTGACAAGCAGAGGCCTTGCCCGCCCCTGCTGGCCTCCCTCCTTCCTACCCTCCCAGCACTCTGGCCTGACAGGGGAAGACAGAAGGCTCTCCGGCCTCCTACAGTGAGCGGTGTTCAAATCCTGGCTGCACCTCACCTGCTGGCCCCTCTCTCTGACCTCAGTTCCCTCCTCTGAAAAATGGGCCCACAACCCATACTTGAGGCAGGACTTTCACTGAATGAAATGATACAAGGGAATGTCTTAACAAGGACGCTGGTGATGGTGGGGCTCACAGATCATGGCTGTTTATGATTATTTTCTTTCTAAGGTTCCTTAGGCTCTGGGCTACAGGCCATACATACTCTCATCAGGTGACCCGGGCAATTCCAACTCCTTCCCTGGGCCTCAATGTTTTCACCTGTAAAATGCACATGCTCATAAGCGTCTGCCTCCCAGAGTCCATGGGAAGACTGGGTGAGGCCCCGTGAGAGAAAGTTCCAGGTGCACGTAGTAGGAAGTTGTCAATATCAGGCTCAGGCCCAACACCAGGTGGAAAGAAAATGAGCCTTTTCTCCCTGGAAGCCAGGGCACATGGCTTGGCCAGGGGACCACGGACTGGATTCCTCGGTTCGGGGTTGGCAGATAAAATAGAGGACGCCCATTTGAATTCAGATAAATAATAAGTTTTTCTTTTAGTATAAGTAAGCCCCACGCAATATTTGGGAAGTATCCTAAAAATTATTTGTTAACCATCTGAAATTCAAATCCGACCGGGATCCTGGTATTTTTTTTTTTTAAGATTTTATTAATTTATTTGACAGAGAGAGACACAGCGAGAAAGTGAACACAAGCAGGGGGAGAGGGAGAGGGAGAAGCAGGCTTCCCGCCGAGCAGGGAGCCCAATGCGGGGCTGGATCCCAGGACCCTGGGACCATGACCTGAGCCGAAGGCAGATGCTTAACGTCTGAGCCCCCCAGGCACCCCCCACCGTAGTCCCCCCTTATCCACAGTTTCAGTTACCGGAGGTCAATTAAGGTTTGGAAGCAGATAATCTGACAATACGCCAACAGTCACCAAATACCACGTCACAGTACCTGTGTCCTTCCCCTCATGTGGGCATTTTATCATCTCACATCATCACATGAAGAAGGGTGAGTATAGTTCAACAAGGCACTTTGGGAGAGAGAGAGACACTCCCCTAACTTTAGTTACAGTGTATTATTATAACTGTTCTAGCTCATTATTCATCATTGTTGTTCATCTCTTACTGTGTCTAATTTATGTTAAACTTTATCATAGGTGTGTGGGGATAGGAAAAAACCCCAGTAGATCCAGGGTTTGGCACTATTTCTGGTTTCAGGCA